ACTTGTGCCCAAATAGAGATTTGTACGCGTTTTGGGATGCATTCCATCCTTCTGAGAAGGCAAGCAGAATTATTGCGCAGCAAATCCTTACTGGGTCCAACAAGTACATGAATCCAATGAACCTCAGCACTATTTTGGCCTTGGACTCTAAGACCTAGAACTAGTTCTAGAACTACAAGGGGTGTGTTTGTTTTTCTATCATAAGACTTTCTTCAGTTTCTCAATGTGTCTTCGTTAGTATTGCCCATTTATTATAATTTTCCTTGTGTCGTGAAAACGTTAGTGTGATATTGTTATTTTGATTTCACTAGTTTGCCTATTTAATAATTTCAATTTTAATTAGCTTTGTCTTTGTTTTGTTCCCTCCCTCTCTTGTCATAAACCTTACATTCAAACATCATATTTTGCTACCAACCCCATCTCATCGAAGATGACCAGCTGGCTATTAGTCCTTGAAATAGATTCTAAGTTCGAATCTCTCCTCCCTGTTGAATCTTTGGGAGTACAGTTCCTCGTCGACAAACAGAAAACACGTATGTCTAAGGACCAAAACAGTCTCAAACATTTAAGGCCCAAAAATAAAGGGCTCACATGTTAAAGTGAAGTATGATATGACTTCCCAATCGGCCCAAATTTTGATATTATAGCTGTGTGTAATATCTTCAGCTCAACACACCTACAGAACTCCATGGCTTTCGGTTCTTTAGGCTTAATTTTATTCAGTTTTTCTAACTGCTTTTTGGCTGAGATTTCTAACTTGGCTTTTAGGAAACAATCTTGCCAGTCGCAGAGAATTACATTTTTACATGGAAAAATAGATCAGATGAGAAACAACCTGTTCTTGGGTGCAAACCCTTATAAACTTCGACAAATGTAAAGTACAAATACGCATGTAATAACTGTCACATCCCGGCCCGGACCCCCACCACATTCCTGGCTCAACTCTGTTGTAGCATGATATTGTTTGCTATGAGCCACAACCATGCCCTCACGGTTTTGTTTTTAGGAACTCACACGATAACTTCCCAGTGAGTCACCCATCATGGAATTGCTCTCGCATGAACTCACTTAACTTCGGAGTTCCGACAGAACCCGAAGCCAGTGAGCTCCCAAAAAGTCTGGTGCTAGGTAGACATGGGAATATATATATAAGGCTTACAGGATCCTCACCCCTAGGCGGTGTGGGATCTTACAATCCACCACCTTAAGGGCCCAACGTCCTCGTCGGTACATTTCCGCCCAAGGATTGGCTCTGATACCAAATTGTCACATCCCGGCCTGGGCCCCCACCACATTCCGGGTTCGACTCCGCCATAGCAAGATATTGTTCGCTTTGGGCCCAAACCATGTCGTCATGGTTTTGTTTTTGGGAACTCACACAAGAACTTCGCAGTGGGTCACCCATCATGGGATTGCTCTCGCGCGAACTCGCTTAACTTCGGAGTTTCGACGGAACCCGAAGTCAGTGAGCTCCCAAAAAGCCTCGTGCTAGGTAGATATGAGAATATACATATGAGGCTTACAGGATCCTCATCCCTGGATGGTGTGGGATCTTACAATAACTTTAGTATCATAGTAATACCACGTGATAACATTCTAGATACTATAAATACCCCCTAATTAAGAGTCTAAATGTAACCTCAGATAGAAAAATCAACTACCAAAGCGACACAAATGTGCATAGCATTCTGGTCAACTGAGTGTATATAGAAAAATGTAGGCTAGAATTGTAATTATATTTGATGCACTACTGCAATTGGCAAGCAGCTACCAATAAACTAGGTATTGAAAACCCTAATGAGAATAATGTAGTAAATAATGGGCCATAATTTAAGTATTCAAAGGAAAATTTAGGGTTGATACAGCTGTCTGTGGCAAATTGGAGGTTTGGAGTTGGAGCTCAAATAGTGCAGAAATGTGAAAGTTGAAAGCAAATACAAACAACGAAATTAACCCAGACTGATTAGGGGACAACTCGACAGCCATATGGAGGTGCCGTATATACAGTTTGTATGAACACTTTTGAAATAAATTTTGTATTGCCCCAGCAAGGACAGATATCGGTATGATGACAACTCTCTCCAACTCCATTAACTTGGCCTCCAAATGTGTTGTACACCATATAATAATAGGAACTTTAACGAAAAGCTCCCGGTATTGTTCACTTTACCCTTTATTTTGTCTTTATTGTTAAGACTCAAAGTTTTCAAGTATTTTTCATTAATTTTCCTTATAATATATATGTCCAAACTAGTGTTAAGAAAACATTTACCTATACACCGATCAATGTTGTGTGTTAGTTTCTCCTTCCTCAGTATCGCTTGATGCTTGTAACAAAAGAAAATTAAAGTGTAATTAGGTTCAACCGTTCAATATATTTTGCTTACAAATCTACAACATTAGAGTTGAACCCCGAAATATTCGAAAATTTTTAGTACAACAAGGAGGCATTTTGCAGTTGCATGCCTGTCTCAATGAATTTCACTTAATTTTGTTCTTAATTGTGCAGCTATTTTCATTTGAAGCTAGCTTGACACAGCTGCTAGGGTGTCAATCAAGGGCATGAGTTTCAAGTGCTCTGCATTGCTGAAAATTAAAGAGCCTCACAAGTAGGTTGAAAGAAAAAGAGTTGAATAAAACTTGACAAACCGTCGGGATAAAGCTAAGGCTTTTGTTTTTGTTAGTTGAAACGTCCCTACAGCAAAAGTCAATTCGTCGGAAAGATACTGTTGTGTAGTAGTTGGTATTATAAAGGCTCCCTTAATTCATATATATATTATATTACTTCACGTTACTCTAGACTGGTCCAATTATTTTGAGAAGTAAGTTTATGGGCCCCAAATGCACGTACAATGCACTAATGTTATAAAGTATCTTATTAGCGAAATCAATTTACTTATATTGAGAACACATAACTTTCCATGGAGAGAAAAAAAATGAGAGAACCGGGAATTGCTTTATGCAAGTTCTTTGCCTTCTCATCAACCAGACATGCTCCATGTGCCCACATGTTAGACTTTGAACATTTGTCACATATGAGGAGGTATCTAAGTATGTGAATAAAGATTCTAGTAAGGAGACATGTAAGTATGTGAATAAAGATTTCATGTCGAAAATTTGTCAAACCTTGCATGTTCTAATAAAGAGTTGGACTACTGTCAGTCACCATATTGCCAATTGATTTTATGGTGAAACTTTTTTTTTTTTAAGACAAACTATGTTTAAGCATGTAGGGTTGAATAGCTATACTTTTGATTTGAATTTGCAATCAGATTCCAATCATTCAATAGTTATTTTAAGCAACTTTTTCGGGACCTTAATGCAATGAACATTGAGAATGATTAGCAGAAGATTTTAAAGCTGTGAAATTAGATTGTTTGCAATCAAATCTCCACTAACCATGTTGACTAAATAATTACCAAGTTTTATGATAATAATTAGTTTTGATCACATGCCTGGTGGCAAGTTTTTCTAGGTTAGCAAAACTACTGCTGGGAGTGGAAAAGTTAAATCTATAAGCTACATTCATAGGTGCTTCTATATTCTAAGGCTTCTAATTAAATTTTAACCAGGGGTGGTCACAACCATAATTGTTTGTACCATACTTGATCAATCCCGAAACTACTGAGCACCGGTCAACGTTATACCGTCAAAGACCCATAAGAGTTTTCCTCCAACCATGAGGCTAATTACAGTGCGACACGTGTCGACATCAGAAGTCAATCGTAGCGCGACACGTGTCAACATCAAAAGCCAATCACAACACGACACGTGTCAATGTCATAATGAAACTAGAAACTCTCTTCTATAAATAGAGATCATTCTCTCACAATATTTCCTAATGTCATTTGTACTAAATCATTCATTAGTACTCACTAAAGGAGAGCTTGAACCTATGTACTTGTGTAAACCCTTCACAATTAATGAGAACTCCTCTACTCCGTGGACGTAGCCAATCTGGGTGAACCACGTACATCTTGTGTTTGCTTCCCTGTCCCTATCCATTTATATACTTATTCACACTAGTGACCGGAGTAATCTAGCGAAGGTCACAAACTTAACATTTTCTGTTGTACCGAAGTCCTCACTGATTTTGTGCATCAACATTTGGTGCCGTCTGTGGGAAACGAACCAAATTTGAATTATCATTATGGTGAAGTTGGTAACTGTCACGGGCAAAGTTTGAAGAAGGAATGTATTTCACGAGCATGGAAATTTCATCACAAATTATCAACAACCTGTCCCAATTGCTAGCATGTGAAATTGGCTGTCACATTAATGTGATTCTTTCTCACAATTTGTAACAATTAGGTGGTGACTACTGATGTTCGCAAATAAGAATAATATTTATCTGCAGCAGGTTAATTTGATCCCTTCCAACACTAGATCTTTAGCACGAAAAGTAAAAACTGTAAAAGGGTTGAAGTTGAGCAAGAGAACAAACTTGAACAGCACATATGCATGTAGCGTGCTCTTGCTTGTCTACAAAATGTGCTGTCACGGGGCATAATCTTGTTTACAGCATGTCAAGTTATAGACATAAAAGTGCATATACGTTAAGTTGTAGGAGAATGACTTACCTATATTGGCTATCGGAATAATATTCTAAATAAATAACGCATTGTAATATACACCAATGCGGTATTTGTTTTTAATATCCTTATAGTGACTTATTAAGTGTGGTCAAGTCTCTTCCCAATTCAAGGACATGGTCTAATGAGCCTGACCCAACTGACAATTACATTAAATTTTTCTCATTTCTGAGTTCTGACTTGGCAGTAAGTTTAAAAGCTAAAATATTGGTCGAATAACCACTTCAATTGATCACTTACAAGAAGCTCTGAAATTTCAAACCAGCTTTTGCTTTTGCATTGCCAACCATACAAGGCATTGCCATAAACACAAACTACAAATATAGCTTTGCTTTTGCACAAGTGGGCCTAAGTTTTTACTCCGATCGGCCAACAGCCCTACCTATATAATCCCCCTCTCATCGATTCAAACTTCCACATATACTCATTGCGATCATTGTACAATCATAAAAAAAGATCTCGGTGAAACTCCTTTCTATTTTCTTTGTTGGGTTACTTTCAAAAGTCAAAAGCCAAATCCATGGCTAGCTCATTGGCCATTTTTGGTGTGCTCATGATCATGGCATTGGGAATGTTGAGTTATGAGGCTGAGGCTCGTGCCTTTTTTGTCTTTGGAGACTCACTGGTCGACAATGGCAACAACAACTACTTAGCCACCACCGCTCGTGCTGACTCTCCTCCTTACGGCATTGACTATCCCACCGGCCGACCCACCGGCCGTTTCTCCAATGGCATGAACATTCCTGACTTCATCAGTTAGGGTTTTCTTCCATTCTCTTTTTCTTTCCGATTTTTCGGGTTTTTTTTCTCCTCAATCGCATTTACTGAATTGACCTAATATGTGCGTGTGTGTATATATAGGCCAGCAACTTGGCGCAGAACCTACATTGCCATACTTGAGTCCAGAGCTCACAGGGCAAAAACTACTAGTTGGTGCAAACTTTGCCTCTGCTGGCATTGGAATTCTCAATGACACTGGGATTCAGTTTGTAAGTTGTTTTCAAACCAAATAAAGGATAATGCAAGATTAGCTCTCTAGTTCCCAGGCACAAATTGCTACATGCTAGTTAATTAATTATCTTCGTAAAGTTGTCAACCAACAATTTATTTATTTTTTAACTAGTAATGGATTATATGTGATATTTTCAGATAAATATAATCAGAATGACAAGGCAATTCGACTACTTCCAACAATACCAGCAAAGGCTGTCTTCCCTAATCGGACCTCAACGTACCAAACAGCTCGTAAATCAAGCACTCGTCCTCCTCACCGTCGGCGGCAACGATTTTGTCAACAACTACTACCTGGTGCCTTTCTCCGCAAGATCTCGCCAGTTTGCTCTGCCAGACTATGTCAAATACCTCATTTCTGAGCTCCGAAAACTTCTCTTGGTAACCAATTCTCGCTTAGGCTAAGTTTGATAATGACTTGGTAGCTAAGCGACAATGTCACATGTTAATGACTTATTATTAAGTGTTGTTTGATCATCCTTTGTGTCATAACTTTACAGAAAATGTATGATCTTGGAGTACGAAGGGTTTTGGTGACGGGGACAGGACCACTAGGCTGTGTGCCGGCCGAATTGGCCATGAGAAGCAGGAACGGAGAATGCTCGGCGGAGCTGCAACGAGCGGCGTCTCTGTACAACCCCCAACTCGTTCAGTTGCTGAGATCACTCAACAGCCAACTCGGTTCCGATGTCTTCATTGCTGCAAACACTCAGCAGACGCGCAATGACTTCGTCAGCAACCCTCAAGCTTATGGTAAATAAATTATACATACACATATATCAATCTTATGACCACGGTGTAATATTATGATCATGGATTAAGCGTAGGTTTAAAAGATTAATGTATTCGTGAATCTCCGGATCTCCGCTTATTTTCAACCCCACCAAGCATTTTGTCGCTTACCATGCCCTTTTGTAGTGTTGGTGACATAACATTATTTGTTTTAATTTTTATTGTGTAGGATTTTCTACGTCAAAGATTGCATGCTGTGGACAAGGACCTTACAATGGCTTGGGGCTGTGCACGGTGGCCTCAAATTTGTGCCCGAACCGCAACCAATACGCTTTCTGGGATGCATTTCATCCAACTGAAAAGGCGAACAAACTGATCGTTCAGAATATTTTGACAGGGGATGAAAAGTACATGTACCCCATGAACCTCAGCACCATCTTGGCTTTGGATTCCAGGACCTAAGACATATGTTTATCTGTCTTTCCATTTGAAACTATATTTATATGTACTAGATCATGATATGTGTTAAATGTGAGTACTAGCTGCCATTGATGTTTATGTGTGTGCTGGGATGTCTAGTGATTAAAAACTGATTGGAGCTTCCCAATTGCTTTGTTCTTGTAATGGTTGATGGGAAAGATTTTTCCCAAGTTGACAATGTCAAACTTTCCAAGTTATGTGCAATCATCTCTAATTTCCATTCAGTCTTTTTGTTCATTGGGTTTAGCTTGATCAAAATTTGCTGATCTTGTGCCGTGTTTACGTAACCGGAATGGAATACGAAGAAACGGATTTGCACTTTTTTCGAGGCATTCAACCGTTTACCAAACATTTCAGTAATCGGAAACAAGGTGGGGCTCACACAAAATCAGGAATTGAACTCCTGAATCTCCCGGAATTGGATCCCCTCCATAGAGGTGGTATTTGGATTCCGGGGAGAAGCCTTCATCAGGAATTCGACTTTTCTACCCAAACTACCCCTGTCCTTATGCCTTTCAGCAGAGTGCCGACTCCAACTCAATCCCGTCCACCCGCAATGACGGGGCTCAAGCTCACTGGTTCAGGATGATTTTGTCAGGATGGGTTTCAAAGATGTAGTTGGTGAAGAATGGGTCTGTCGACAGGGAAGAAGATGGAGAAAAGAAAAGAAAAAATATGAGGAAGCTAAAAGAATTGGGGGATGACGGGGAAGAAGACGAAGAAAGGAAAAGAAAAAAATAGATGACGGGGAAGAAGAGAGAGTTCTGAAAGAAGATGGAGAGAAAAAAATAAAAAAAGATTTTGGAATGATAAAGAAAAAGTATGAAAATAATTTATTTATGTAAAAGCAAACTAGTTTTCATTCGGATTGAAGTGAATTAGTAAACAATTTATATGGATTTAACATCATCATTATTCGGATTCCAGATAGTTTTAGTAAACAACTTCAACAAGAATCTGATTCTGATTCCACCTCATTTCAATTCTTTCTCAATCCAATTTTTCCTCAATTCAATTCCCCTAAATTTGATTACGGTTTAGTAAACGCGCAGTTGGTTTATTGTAGCTATTGAACATAACCTTTGGGCGCGACCAGTTCTTCGTGTTACATGGGTGTGATTTGTCTACTCTCTTTCTAGAATACCACTTAAAAGTTCGTTTTTGTGTGTGTAATTTAAGAGTCGATGGAAAATACTTTTTTTCGTTATACTCGAGTGACATTCTAATTAGCGTAATCTAAATTATGGAAAATGAGAAGCAATCCCTTCTCCTTTTCTGTAAGTGGTCTAATATCCTAGTAAATAGTATGTTGAGTTTCCACTCATGCATCCCGATTTCGAATTCTTTAATTCTCTAAATCGTTATAATAGTTTCGAACCCTCTATCTCTTTAATAATATATTTTTTTTTTACGAAGAATGTTGTTGTAACAAACTTCACTACGCAAAAGTTATGCCATTGAATAATTAAGCTAGGTTAAACATTTTCTCTTCCAAGCTGCAAGACTTTTCCAGTTTCCCGAGAAATTTGCGCTGGTTGCTCTAGCTAGCTTTTTAGGACCACTTGCCCTGCTGCCATTACCAACCAATTTAATGCATGTCACGTACTTCTTGTTGGAGCGCCACGTTTCGAGCTTTTCATATCTCTTGGATCCTCTACTTCTTGTTGGAGCTAGCGCCACGTTTCGAGCTTTTCATATCTTTATTATAGGATTTGGATTTAGGGTTTAGGGTTTAGGGTTTAGGGTTTAGGGTCCTCTCTGAATCTCTTTTATGAGAATCTTAGAGATCAATGCACAACGATCATTCATCAAAGATCGTGTGATCACAATTAAATATTCTTATATTTTTAAAAGTAAACCAGTCTAGTTTTGCAAAAATATTTAATTGTGACCGTACGATCTTTTGATGAACAATCCTTATGCATTGATTTCCGGGATCTTCACGGAAGGGATCCAGAGAGCATCCAAATCCTTTATTATATCCTACCTAATACAATCAAATATCCGTCCAATTAACAATTCCCTGATTAATTTTCAATAGTTTTACAACAAAATAATGATGTATGTGAATGTGTTTTTTGTTTTAGCCTTTTAGGATTTGTTTGAAATTGTTTTTAAAATAACCAAAAGTTGTTTTAAATTAGTAAAATAGATTCTGAACATATTTAGCAGAAAAAAATTAAAATGCTTCTAGGTTCAAAAAATCACTTCAATTCTTCTAAGCATAACTTCTTTATAAATAAGTAGTTTCAAACGAACCCTCAATTAAGAGATATTGAAGATATGAAGAAGAGACGAGATCAAATCTTCTGCACCCAAATTTGGTGTGATCTCTCTGTAGCTTTAATAAGTGATTAACATATATTAAATTCATAATTATTATCTTCACTTTTCTAAAATTTTTTGTTATGAATTTAATATGTGTCAATCACTCACTGGGGGCACAGAGAGGCCACACCAAATTTGGGTGCAGAAGATGATTAAAGACTAGAGTATGTTTTCTAATGTTTGTGCCTACATTTCTCTTCTAGCTAGCTGGAGAGAACAATATTGGAGAGATTTTTCAGTGTGACCATCACACGGGATAGTACATCACGTGTCGCTATATAAATGGTAGGATATGTGTGTTAAAAAGTTAATAACTTAAAAAATAAAATTTCTCATAAAAACACATGGTGTACCATTCGTGTTCTATTCACAACTAAAAATTTCTCACAATATTGATCGCCCGAGTACTCTTCTCATTTTCTTCGAAGTCAAGGCACCTCCTTCATGGAAGACGGACTTCGATATTGATGATGATGTTGCCTCTCTAAACTATTTTAAGTGGGTTCACTCTGAATCCCACCCTCTTTACGTGACAAGTGGTTTGAAAAGAGACTTCTTTCCTCCCCTCAGACGTACCTCCCACTTAAAACCAACCACTACAAAGATGCTTAAGGGTAAATAAAAGCCTAGCTAACAAAATTAACTCCATGCACGTACTGCGCATGCCCTATATAGTTTGCTTTAAATGAATTCTCAGCTGTCCATACATTACTTCCAACCAACCCAACCCTTTACAGTTTACACTGCAATATATATCGATCCTGACCAAATCACATAATTAAGCGTATCAATGGCTACAGCTCTTTAGTAAGTTGGTGATTAGATTATTACTTAATAAAATTAATTAAGTCAGGAATAAACGTGCTCATTTTCTATTGGTCGATCTTGACCAACACAAGGCAGATGCATGCAGATTTCATCAGCAACCCCCATGGTACTAATTCATGAATTTAATTGATTTTTGTCTTTAAAAGATGATATTTTGACTACTTTTGAAATGACTAGAAGTATTTTTTGATAACCAAAAAATCCTTCCGACTGCAAAAGTTGAAAGTGCTTATGTTGACTTCTTAAAGAAACACTTTCAAGTTCTTTTTCAAGCAACACTAGGATTTTAACAAAAATGTCAACATGTTTCTATAAAGCACTTCTAGCAAAAGGAGGCTCAAACGAGTGCTTAAAACAAATTACATTGGAAATTGTTATCGATTCACTCATGTTATAACACATGCATATATTTATTCTTACAAAATCCCAAATTTGAAACACATTAAACACGTTGTTCACTCATTTTCTAACGCGTGGTTGTGCATTCACTGCAGGGTTTACCACATCGAAGGTAGCATGTTGTGGGCAAGGACCCTACAATGGACAAGGTCTCCGCACATTTCTGTCCAATTTGTGCCCAAATAGAAACCTGCATGCGTTTTGGGATGCCTTCCCTCGATCTGAAAGAGGCTAATAGAATTTATGTAGAGATGATCACGACGGGCTCAACTGACTATATGAGCCCCATGAACCTCAGTACCATAATGGCCTTGGACTCCACCATCTGACCTGAACGAATATATATATATATATATATATATATATATATATATTACAAATGTGTGTGTTTTTCTAAATTTGTTGTACAAATTTAAGTCATTGCTTAACTATTACTAGTATATGCCCACACCCAAGCTGAACTTGGACATGAGATAGATTGCATGGCCAGGTAGGTGGCTCCATATGTGGCAATAGTTACAACGGTTATTATGCGCAAGTGTTTATTTGAATTTGCACTTTAGAAGTTAACACAGATAAATAATATAGATGAATATGGTCCCTTTTTTGTATAACAGAACCAAGCTTGACTTATACCGGACTCCCAAAGCTTAAATTCTTGGTGCATGTATATCAAGTTAACAAACACATCAGGTGGTTTTAATTGTTGTAGTATTTGTCCATGAATCAGGTACATTGCAGAGGGTGGGCTTCAGGCAAGTCTAGAGATTTTTGAGGTCCGGGACAACGTAAAAAAATGTGCTCTCACTTTATATAAGAAAAATATTTGTTTTCACACGTAAGATTTCGATAAAATTATACTTATAAAAGCACTTCAAACTTGATAATTTAGAAACACAGAAAAACTAATTTATTTTGTATCGTGAGAAGGAAACAAAAAAACTCCGGGTTTACAAGTAGATAAATATGAGTTTTGTTTTCCATCTGAACTTTTAAAGTGTTTTTTTATATAAATCGTGAGGTGTTTTTTCTTATTTACTAACCTTGTCAATATGGGACTAAAAAAATAATGATGTTTTCTAGTGTTTAATTGATATGTATAAGTAATAAATGAGTACTAAATTAAACTTTTTGATGATACGTTATATAATTTGCAAATTTGGTCTAAAAATTTGGTAACGCATTACTCTTCATTGAATATTAGACTTGAATTGAAACAAATGTTTAAAAATAACAACCCACATAACTACTAGCTACTAATAAAAAATAAATTAACAACCAAACAAAAATTCGTAAAAATTGAAAAGAATAAACATGTACCTAGCATTTCAAACTAAGGACCTCTCGTTAATTTTAAACAACAAAAACCAATGATTCTAATTAAACTTCTTGATCATTTAGTCAAAATTTATATATTTATACTCTTATGAAAAGAAATTTGTAAAAATTGAAAAGTAAATAAGCACACATGTGGTGTTTTGAATTTAAGACCTCCTCGTTAATTTAAAACAACAAAACCACAAATTTTAGTTAAATTTCTTTGTCATTGAACCAAAATTTGGAAATTTATACTCTTATGAAAACATATATAAATATACTACTCTAATAATTTTGATGCCTCCAATTATTTTGAGCCTCAAACGATCGTCCGGCCAGCACTGGGCTTGCGCCGGCCCTGGTGGGCTTACTGGTGAGCGCAAGCGATGGGTGCCTTGAAGAGGGAAAACACCACGTGAACCCTATTGAAACCTCATTCAAGCAAAAGATGTCTTGAGGAGTGGAAGATACACCACAGAAAGCTTTTGAGAACGACGGAATGAAGGAGTTGCAGCTTTAGGGGATGGCGCCTCTGAGTCGGATTATATTAGAGTTGAGATAAGGTTAAGGAAAATTATAAGGGGCCCTGACACGAATGTTTTAAAGCCCAAAGCTGCTACTTAGATGGTAGTATCTGAATTGAAGGAAGAACTAGAAGCACAAGGTCTGCCAACTGATGGTACCAGAAATGTTCTCTACCAGCGTGTCCAAAAAGCAAGGACACCTGCTCCTTATGTCGGGGGGTTGCATAGCTCTGCAAGCAATGCTTCCCCATTTTAGCTGCCCTTGGAACTGTAATATAGTTAATAGCGGAAATAAGCAAATCACAAATACAATTAACCACTAACCTTGTGAAGCCATTGCAGCGGAAACTAGAGCTCTTCTACACTCAACACTACTGTATGCAATCAACAAACAATGGGGCTTGTTCTCTCTGGTTTGCGTAATCAGTGTGAATGCAGGGACCTCTATTACATATCCTTAGTGTTGGTATTTGATTAGGTTACTTCCCATCATGTAATCCTAATCAAATTGTATAAACAAATACCCTTATCACCACAAACCAAAGTTATCATATCAGAATAGTTAAACCTACTCATACCAGGATTACTTCCAGCTTTATATACAATCAAATACATTCCTTGATAGCTTTACAAGTCTAGTTTATCCCAATCTCTTACGACTTCAATCCCTTAAGCACGTGATAAACTTAGTGTGCAGCTCTAATTAGATTACAGGAACTTCACTCTATACTGATCAAATCTGAATGTGTTTCGTCTTACAGGTTGATGAAGAGCTTGATGAACTGCTCCCATGTATCAAGCTAGAAAAAGGAAATACAGAGTTCTGGAAGCGTCGTTTCATGGGATAAGACTTCGGTACTGATCAAGAAAAGGCTGAAGATGTTTCGGATAGTGTCACTGTTGATGTTGCATAAGATGTGGAAAATGACGAAGCTGAAGCTGATGATGATGATGACAAAGATGATGATGAGGAGGAGGAGTACCCACAAATGGGGATTGTGCCGTGTTTTTGCGTGCGGCAGTAACCAGTAAGGGCTCCTCTGCCGTCAGCTTTCTTGAATATATTACAGACTACGCATAGTCTTGGTTATGTATTCGGCAGGTAAGACCATGTTCCTTAAGTTGAGTATGACAAAACTGAAAACAAAACAGAAACCGGAGATGATGTAGGTGTTCGCGTTCATGATCTAAAACACGTTCATCCACACAAATTATCGCTTGCCAAAGAGATTTGATTCTATATTTTGGGGTCTTGTTTACATCATTTTTTCTTCTCTTCCGTTGCAGTCCCCTTTACGATGAAATCATCTCACTGTGTCTCGACCTCGTGGAGCTAGATGCAGCCGTTGCAATTGTTGCAGACATGGAGACGACTGGAATCAGCCCCAGACGAGACATTGGACCGGGTGATTTCTGCTAAGCAGACGACCTGATAGTACTGTCAAAGATAGTTGCAATGCAAGGGTTAGAATTTGTTACAGTTCTCCCTTGCTGTGTAATTAAACCTAAATTTTGCCCACTTAGCAGTGAAGTAATTGACGGCGAGCCTTGGCGCAACGGAAAAGTTGCTGTTTTGCGATAAAAAAGTTACGGATTTGAATTGTGGAAACAATCTCTTTATAAAGTCAGTGTAAGATAACAAGAGTACAACTGTGTACGATAGAATTCTCTTTCCGACTCTCACGAAGCAGGAGCCTTATTGGCTTAGGGTTTTCCTTTTTTTGTAGTGGTAGTAATTATTTTCTGTACTCATTGACTGTTAGCTTAAAAGGCAGTCAAATTCAGCTGTCTTGGTGCATAAGACATGATTGATGCTTGATCTTAAAGCAAGCCAATGAAAATGTGACTTAAAAGAGAGAACGCAATCTAATGCAGCCATTATGTTGTTTAAAGGGCCGGCCGGGACCCGTCCCCGGATTAAATGAACTTGTGTTAGAAGCGGAGTGCGTAAATCATTTTTGATGAAAAATTAAGTTAATAAAAGGGTTTTTTAATGAAAAGAATTTGGACTGAGTTTGCTTTAACAAAAAATTATTCTATAACTTTATTTTTCATGAAAATGGGTTAATTTTATTTAATAAAAATGATCATTCCAACATGACTCATTTGACGAAATTCTAACAATTGATAAAAGGATCGTAATTGCACGTTTTAAGGAGTTAAGAGACTAATAATCATAAATTTTTAGTTGAAAGATTATTGCTCCAATTAAGTTAAAATTGAAGAACCATTTTGAACAATTTTCTCTACACTTTACTCTCATATTTTAGTCATGTAAAAGGGTAAACACGACGTTATATTTGGAATTGGATCCGTTTCGGACCTTAGTGTTCGGAGCCTGATGATCAATTTATCTGGGCCATACAAATTCAATTTAACGTTTCTCATTAACTCATTTTCCTGGTCTACCACACAAAACCAATAGCTCTGATTTCTTTTACACACCAATCAACGGCCCAGATGAATTGATCCTTAGTCTCCGGAAACTAAGGTCCAGAGCGGATACAATTCCGTTATATTTATCCTCATTCATGAATTGACCCCAAGGATGTCTTTCTTGTTCGAAAGTATTCCAAAATTGCTAATTAGTCCTTTTTGCAGTTAAGGACATATTTGTCCTAATGGAGTAGTGTGCACCCACTCCGCTTAGTCGTTTAGTCAGCACCGATGATGACAACCGCCTTCAGACCACACAGCGGAAACGGCTCGCTCGCGATCTCCTTCCTTCCCACCTAAAAAAAAAAAGCACTTCACCCGCAAACTCCGTCAGCCAAAAGCGCTGGCCAAAAAAGCAGCTTAAACTCAAAGCAGAATGCGACGATGCTGCTTTCCTTTCTAATCTAAAGCTTCCACTCTGAAAGCTTCAATTTTTACTCAGATCTTAGTGTGGGAAAGACTTCAGCCATGGCTGTTCCAGTTGAAGAAGCCATTGCCGCTCTATCCACCTTCTCACTCGAGGTCCGAAAAATGGCTTTGATTTTGGTTGAATTCACATTAATTTGATTTACTTGTGTTTAATCTGATTTTTTTTTTACAATTTTATTTAATTTTGGTTGAATGTAGGATGAGCAAGCGGAGGTTCAAGGACCGGGAATTTGGGTTTCGACTGATACCGGCGCAACGGATAGTCCCATCGGTGCGTTTTTCGTTTCTTTTGTTGGAATTGGAATTGTTTTTGGTGTTGATTTGGAAGTCTTGAGTGAAGTGTTTGATATTATGAACTAAATTTAGCTTCTTCTTTTTTTCCGATTAAAGCAACTGTCTTGAAGTTTAATTTGTTGTTATTTACATTTTGTAGAGTATAGCGATGTTTCCGCTTATCGCCTATCGTTGACAGAAGACACAAAAGCTCTCAATCAGCTGGTGCATACTTATTTGTTGCTATTTTTTTGTCTTTGAATCGATTTTTGGTGTAAATGTAGACACAAAGAAGCATTTTGGCAACATTTTTGTACTCATTTTCGGATGCATCTGAATGTTGTCTTTGATTGTGTTTTCGATAAAAATTGCAACTTATGCAGAATGCTCTTATTCAAGAGGGAAAGGAGATGGGATCGGTGCTTTATACATATCGCAGTTGTGTCAAAGCACTTCCTCAGGTTAAGCTCTTCCTTCAAGTTGTCACTCGTACAAGCTAGCATTGTTTCGGAAAATCTTTATAAATGGTTGAGCTGACTTGTCTCTAATGTGTGTGTATGTATCTTTTGTGGCAGCTTCCTGATAATATGAAACAAAGTCAAGCTGACTTGTATCTAGAAACATATCAAGTTTTGGACTTGGAAATGAGCCGTTTGCGTGAAATACAGCGATGGCAAGCATCAGCTGCCGCAAAGGTATTAGCTTTTTCAAACCTCAATTTACACACTTTGTTTGTTATCCTTGATTTGAATTTTCACAGTGGCATGGATGTTTTTGTACAGCTAGCTGCAGATATGCAACGGTTTTCTAGGCCTGAGCGACGCATTAATGGCCCCACAGTAACTCATCTCTGGTATGCAATAACATTTCCGAAACATTTTCTTTCTTTAGTTTTGATGTGTGTCAATATGGGTCCCACTAATTTGTTCACGCTCCAGGTCCATGTTGAAGTTACTTGACACTCTGGTGCAACTTGATCATCTCAAAAATGCCAAAGCAAGCATACCGAATGATTTCTCTTGGTATAAAAGGTAAGACAATTATTACCATTCTATATCTTTTTTACTGTACCTTTGACATGGCATGTCTCCATGATTAGTTCTCTTATTTGGCTTATTGTGAATTTTTCAGGACATTCACACAAGTAAGTGTACAGTGGCATGATACTGATACGATGAGAGAGGAGCTAGATGACTTACAGGTGTGACTGTGGTCTCCTTCACTATCTTCATGATATGCAGATTTAGATGGATACATAATATCACTGTATGTTGCTGCAGATTTTCCTTAGCACAAGGTGGGCTATCTTATTGAATTTGCATGTGGAGATGTTCCGCGTGAACAAGTATCCTGTGTACCGGAGTCATTGGACTTATTTTGTCTGACATTACAATTCTATATGAAATGAGTAGAAGAAATGACGACTTATTTTGATACTTTCAACTCTACTCATTTCACTTAATTGGAGCTACTGATTTTATTCACCTTGTCCAAAAATTATAGTGATCTGCCTTTTCTTGTTGTTGTCAATTTGTTACTTTTGCAATTGGTGATACAGTGTGCTATGAGTTCCTTGACACGATATAGTGTAGAAGACATCCTTCAAGTTCTCATAGTCTTTGCTGTTGAGTCATTAGAGCTGGATTTTGCACTTCTGTTCCCAGAGCGGCATATTCTTCTACGTGTTTTGCCAATTCTTGTTGTTTTAGCAACATCATCGGAAAAAGATAGCGAGTCTTTGTACAAGAGAGTGAAAATCAACAGACTGATCAATATATTTAAGGTAATATATAGTTGTAATGATTTTCAAAGTTCAGAAATTAAAAAGTTATCTGCACTCTCGCCTAAAGGCTTCTATTTGTTTCTTTGTTATTTGTCTTCCAGAATGATCCAGTAATTCCTGCATTTCCAGATCTTCATCTTTCTCCTGTTGCAATCATGAAAGAATTGTCAATATACTTCCAGAAGTTTTCCACCCAAACTCGTCTTCTTAGTCTTCCCTCACCTCATGAGCTTCCATCCCGCGAGGCACAAGAATATCCTTTTGATTTGTTTTCATTATTTATTAAAAGTAAAATTGTGTTTTTATATTGGGAATTTAGCCTCACTCAGTTTTATAAGAAAAATTATTTTCATTAATGTAAGTGAATCCACTTTTCTAAAGCTTGTATTGGGAACATTAGACTGCTGACTCAACTCTTACATTGTTATAGAAGTCTACTAGTACTCTGATCATCTTTTATTGGGCACATGGGTATTTGCTTGGTTACCGAATCTGACTGTAACTTTATAGTTTTGTCTTGTTTAGTGTCTTTGAGATTTGCACAAAAATCTCTTTGTTGTTGCATCTATTTAGTGAGGCCTTTACTTGATATACTTATCAGAGACATTATCTAATCATCAATCACATTGGATCCATCCGTGCGGAGCATGATGACTTTGCAATTCGTTTTTCTTCCTCCATGAATCAGGTCTCTTCCTCCTACTCCTCAGTCCTTCATCTGCACAAAATAAAAGTAAACCTGTATTATGAATATGAATTCTTTTCGGCCCTCTTATGTAATTTTCTGAAGTTGCTCATTCTGCTTTATGTAGTTATTGTTGTTGAAGGCAACAGACAATCCAGATATTGATTGGTGCAAAGAAGTGAAGGGAAACATATATGATATGGTTGTTGAAGGTTTTCAGCTGTTGAGTAGATGGACTGCACGCATTTGGGAACAATGTGCATGGAAGTTTTCTCGTCCCTGCAAGGATATAGTTCCTTCTGAAACACAAGAGGCTTTAGCATCATTTTCTGACTATGAAAAGGTATTGTCTCCCATATCTGAAATGTTGTAATTGCTTCTGTTGATCCCAGACTCAGTAATCTGTAAATGTTTTTAAGATTTCGGTACAAGACGCTAGTGTGAATAAGAAATTTAAAACCTGTGGAAAAAAAAGGCATAGCACGAAAATAATGAATGGAGGATTGGTAGTCCGTCCTATGGTAACAATACATTACTAAAGAATGTGGTCAACAACAACAACAAAGCCTTTTCCCACTAAGTGGGGTCGGCTATATGAATCCTAGAACGCCATTGCGCTCGGTTTTGTGTCATGCCCTCCGTTAGATCCAAGTACTCTAAGTCTTTTCTTAGAGTCTCTTCCAAAGTTTTCCTAGGTCTTCCTCTACCCCTTCGGCCCTGAACCTCTGTCCCGTAGTCACATCTTCGAACCGGAGCGTCAGTCGGCCTTCTTTGCACATGTCCAAATCACCAGAGCCGATTTTCTCTCATCTTTCCTACAATTTCGGCTACTCCTACTTTACCTCGGATATCCTCATTCCCAATCTTATCCTTTCTCGTGTGCCCACACATCCAACGAAGCATCCTCATCTCCGCTACACCCATTTTGTGTACGTGTTGATGCTTCCCACCCAACATTCTCTGCCATACAACATCGCTGGCCTTATTGCCGTCCTATAAAATTTTTCCTTGAGCTTCAGTGGCCTACGACGGTCACACAACACGCCGGATGCACTCTTTCCATCCAGCTCGTATTCTATGGTTGAGATCTCCATCTAATTCTCCGTTCTCTTGCAAGATAGATCCTAGGTAACGAAAACGGTCGCTTTTTGTGATCTTCGCTAGATTGCTCCGGTCATTAGTGTGTGGATAAGTATATAAATGGATAGAGATAGGAAAGCAAACACAAGATGTACGTGGTTCACCCAGA